TGTGCCCATGAAAGCTCATAATATCATCTACATATTTTGTTAGTCTTCAAGGTGCTAGTAGACTGACTATTTTTTTTTAAATATATAGATTTATCAGAATCAAAACATGAGAGGTAGAGTTTTATAGGAGTTGTACATCCTGGCTACGTCTAGACTACATCCCTTTTTCGTAAAAGGGATGTAAATTCGACGTATCACAATTGCTAATGAAGCGGGGATTTAAATCTCCCCCGCTTCATTAGCATAAAAATGGCTGCTGCTTTTTTTACGCACGGAGCTTTGTCAGAAAAAAGCACCAGTCTAGATGCAGATCTTGCGGAAAATAAAGCCTTTTCCGAAAGATCCCTTATCCCTCTATGAAATAAGATGTTTAAGTTGTTTAAACAAATGTGTTGCAATGGTGGAAAAAAAATGTTGCGTCTGAAAGCTGTAGGTAATTTTTTTTAAAGGGGTACTTTATAAAAAACAGGTTGAGAAACACTGTGCTAAGCTTGTCCACATTTGAGATTGAGTCAGCAAACATTAATAAACGTAAGCCTTACAAAATCCATGTAAGATGGGTAAGGGTTGTTATCCCCAGTTTACGTGTGGAGAAATTGAGGCATAGAGACTTTCTTGGGATTTACTCAAGATCATACAACAGATCAAAGACAGAGCTAAAACAGAAGGCAGGAGTCCTCTCCACCAATTATTTTGCTTAAACTACTGTACTACAGCAGATGCAGTTCTGGGGGCAGCAGAAGGGGACAATGTCTTGCTATCCAAGGGCAAAGGCTAAGAGCATATGAGACAGTTTGGCAGCTGGGAAGGAACATGTGCATAGGGATCTCTTGCTTATGCTTAGTAAACCTTCCCCTCTGCAAGTCTCAGCAGTGTAGAGATCCATTTCCTTCTTCAGAGGGGTTTTTATTGCCCTTTTCTTTTGTTGTCTGAGCAGCAAACTCAGTTAGCAAGGGGAATCGATTTGCATCATTCATCTTCACCGAGGAGGGTAAAACAACCAGTGTCTTTTGTCCTATTTAATGTCTGCAATAGTTTGGAGTCAATAGTCAGGACATGACACCTTCTGTGGGAGATTAGCACTTCACAGCCGTTAATGTTTCTCTTCAGTCTGGTGATTTATACAGTCCCAGAGGTTCACAATGCAACCACTTAGATATGACCTTATGTTATGGGATACAGATTAATGCATCTAGCTACTCACAAGCATTCCATAAAATCTAAACATTAAATATTATTCCAACCCTAATATCTGTTGTAACAATACTGACACATAAGTATGCCAGACTGATTCCCTACATATCTGTTAATGTTCAGTTTAGACATGAGGTCCTTGGCATGAGGTGGTACCTAGTCTCTTAGGTTATGTCTACACTACAGAGTTTTTGCGGAAAAACAGCCATTTTTCTGCAAAAACTCACAGAGCATCTACACTGCAAGCATGTTCTTTTGACAGTAAATTGACAGTACATCGAAAGAACAGAGAAGTTTTTGTGCAATTGGTATTCCTCTTTCTACGAGGAAGAAGCCTTTTTGCTTTTTCGATGCGCTTTTGCAGTGTGGATGTGCTCTTGCGCAATAAATTTTTGTGGAAGATATCTTCTGACAAAAGGTTCTTGTGCAAAAAGCTTGCAGTCTAGACATAGCCTTAGTGTCACAGGTTTTATGGAGAATTCCAGCTTCATTTAATTTAGGGGCCAGATCTCCATCTTGCAAAAATTAGTATAGTCCCATTAACTACAATAGAGCAATGCAGATTTACTCAAGATAAGGTTCTAGTCACAGGGTTTCAGACAGAAAGTCCTTGTTTGCAAAATAGTTTTGCTAATTCAAGCTAGGCTAGGCTTAGCCTAAATGACAATTAGTTCAGAACAGTGTGACATAAATATGCCTTATTCCCACACAGACTACAGATAAAATGTAAGGTTGGAACAAGTTTGAAAATGATTTATCACCGCAAGTGCAGGTTTATAACCGCTAGCGTTTTTTTTTTTTTTTAGAGAAAGGCCATAGTGCAAGGAGAGCAGTTTCTTTACAAGTCAGCAATTTTTTGTAGTTAACAACCAGTTATTCTTTGATCAGAATGCAAGCTATTCACTGAGAGTGAACTTTAACATCATTTATTACAGGGCTTTGCCAGCACCTCTGTAATTATCAGGACACTCTCAAATGACTGGGCATATTTTTCTGTACTGTACCTAGAGAAAAAGAAGAATCCAAGAACAAATCAAAAGCAGAATTGATTTTTTTCTGCTTCAGTATTGATGCTCTGCTCATTTAAAAGAAATATCCAAGGTGTGTGTGTGGTGAGGGGCAGGGAGACCCCTCCAAATTATAAAATAGCAGCTTGAGTTTGCATTTTCACCACCTTACTTAGGGCAGGTCTACAGCACAAGATAAGGGAGAAGATCTTACCATCCGATTTTGTGAAGTCAGAGGTCTGTGTCCTCACTGTGGGGAAGAATCAAATGTTGTCTGAAACATTACTGTCGATGCAGAGAGCTGAGGACCGTGGGCAGCTTTGCATTCTGGGCCATATGCACAGTGCCCACTGGGTACAAAACTCGGTAGCAGGTAGCTAGGGGTTCATGTTGGCAACGTCCCAGAATGCATTCCTTTACACCCTCCCCTCTTGTGAGAGATAGCGGGGAGGCAGTGTGCTTGCACCTTTTAGTGCCCTGGTTGCCTGTGCAGATGCTATAGCAACGCGAGCATGAAGCCTGTTGTGCAGGAAAGCATTGACATGCTCATGTGTCAAGTTCCTGGTGTGTGTTTAGAGACCATTGTGAAGTCCTCGGTGTCCATGGATAGAGCCTTGCAAATCTGTGGAGATGTGCTTAATATCTGCAAGTATCCGCATCAGCAGATGTGGATATACATGGCTCATTTTTGTGGATACGGATCAGGAAGTAAATTTTGTACCTAGAACCCTGCAAATGTGCAGATATCCACTTTATATCCACAGGTATCCATCCGCATGTAGATATGTATGAGTGTATGAGATATCTGAGGATCATTTTTGCAGATGCAGATGTGGATATAAATGTTGCATTCACACAGAGCTCTATCCCTGATTAGTCAATTATTGATATGTCCTTTAAATTTTTACTTTTAAAAATGATACAGCACAAATTATTAGCACAATTTTATATATATAAATACATACATTGCTAACTACAGTTTGTGTACATATCTCATAACAATAATCAGGTTCAGAATAGTACTAGCTTTCATAAGGAATTTAACTTCACAGTAATATTATATAAATACAACCAGTTGATTGAATTGTGTATTTTTTTGGGTTTCTCTTTAGGAGTTTCTGGATCCTGATTGTCAGAGAAATATAGTAATAGAAAAAAAAATTCCCAGACCCCGGCAGCTTCTCTTTTCTTTGCTGCAGTCTAGTTAGCCATCTATTCAAGTAGATTAGGCTCTTTTCATGTCTGATTAAACCATTGCCTTGAGAAATTGTATTTTTCCAATTGCAAAATCCAGATTTGGTAAAAAATCACAGCAACTCCCATTCCACCAGGATTACCAGGGTGTGGATACAAATCAACAAGGAAAACAAATGGTCTTATCATGCCCCTCCTTAATTACAGGGTCTGAGTCAGAACATCTGTCACCGACTCAGACATAAATTCACTATGTGTCATTGAGCATGTCACTTAATATTTTTTCTGGTCTCAGTTTCTCCAGTTTACTGCAAACTGGAAAAATGTTACTTTCCTCCATAATGGAGTGGTTTGATGTGTACAGATAAAAAGCTATCCCTATAAACTCAAAGTGTTGATGATTCATTCATTTAGTATGATTAATAATTACTTGTATTATTATCCCAAGAACTGTAATTATCCTTAAGCTATTCCTTCTCTGTTCTCTCTCCGATTGATTTTCTCTTTCCTATAAGGCAGAATGCTTTTTTTTTAAACAAAAACCAAACGAAAGTCCAAGCAAGCAAGCAAGCAAGCAAACAAAAAAACCCAGGCTAGGCTGGGGTTGGAGTAATACAAAGTTTATGGTAAAACTGACTCTCTGCTAAGTGAATTACGGTACACAAAGGCTGATAACTTTTCCTGTCTGTTGATTGCAGCAGAAGATATATATGAGCCAGCCCTCTCCTGGTATATTTTTCCTTAATACTCTTTGTGTAGAAAATCCTGAGACAGGTAAGAATTATGTAGTTATTGTATTATAATTCAGGGTAATGACCATTCAAATTATTTACAGCTGATTTCTTAAAAGGTTGATTTCTTAGGAGTTAAGTGCATAGCTAAAGTGTTTTGCTTAGTGCTGTATGTTTTCATTTATCTTTTAAAAAATGGTAAAATAGCCTAAGGCCATTTTTAAAAAATTCAAGTTGCTGTTCGAGCTAAAGGCTGAATTGTTGGCAGTTATTTTTTTCCAAGAAGGAGAAGCCCCTTCTAGACATTTAGCAAGGAATGTATCACTCATGTTCTCTGTATAAACCCGGTCTTGTGTTTGTGCTCGCTTCCTTTCCAGAAGTCTTAGCATGCTGTGGCTGTTGAAACTTTTCTGGCCCGCATACCTGTTTAGAGAAGGGATCTCAGAGGCGCTAATTTAGCTGCAAGGCAACCATATGCTGTCTGAATGATCCTATGAGATGAGGGGAATTATCTTGAAAAACGCGTATCCCGAGGCCTTATGTGGACCTGGGGGAGACGGAGGAAAAACCAGCGAAGAGAGGGGAATCTCATTAAAGTTACTAGGTTGGAAGTAGGTTGAGGACTTTGAAAGTGCTGGGGATTTCTTCGAAACGGGCTTGATAGATTTAACGCGATTTTTTGAAGTGTCCTCTTACTCTCCCCCTTTTCTGCTACTGAAGGTAAAAAACACCTCCCCCTGGAAAAAGGACAGGAAACTTTCTGGGGACAATCCACCAGGGTCTCTTCGCTGGGTCCCCAGCCCAGAGGTGCATACGTGTGTGCCCAAGCATTGTTGTGCTGCAGGATGCGATTGAAACTGCTGTGACCTCACCCACCTTAGCGCTGCACTCAAGCCTAGTCAGTTACACCTGGGAGAGGGCGTGAGCCACAGGCAATTTGGGTTCAGTGCCCCCCGGTAGCCGCTCCGAGCGTATGGGACCCGAGGGGAGCACAGACCCCGACCCCACCTCCTCTCATCTGGGTAGACCCGCTGGATTTCCCCCACGTGCTGCAGTCGTGACCCGCTTTTGTTCCTTCCCTGCACGGCGGCCCTGCAGCTGCTGGCTGGCTCCGGAGCAGAATTAGTGAACGAGGTGGAGCAGGAGGGTGGCGGAGGCAAGGGCCGCTCTCGGGCTCTGACCATGTTTTTCCTCTTGCCCCTCAGCTGCCAGAGGGGATCCAGGAAGCCGCGGGAGAGACTCGCATCTGGAGCGGAGCTTCCAGCCACCATGGAGGGCCTTCTCATGATTGCAGCCCAAGTCATGTCCGTCTGGTTCACTCTGGCGTTTACACTGATAGTGCTGCCTTCCGTGTTCGGACTGTCGCTGGGCATTTCTGAGTTCTACATGAGAATTTTAGTGAAGACCCTGGAGGTAAGTTGGTGGCCCTTAAAAGTGTCGACTTAATAAAAGTTTCAGCGTCCTTAACATGTTTCCAGTAAAAACTTCTGGTTTGTGGCAGTAAATCTGCTGTGACTTTGGCATAAACACTTATTCCCGTGTGAATCGGTTTCTCTAACTCAGGAGGGTGTGTTCTCCCTCTGCAAAACGTGTCCCTCTGCCAAAGGCTGGCTAGTCAAGACTAGAACACTAGTTCCTGGGAATGCTTTGTGTTTTACAATCGTAAATCCGAGCTAATGTTGCGCCTGGGGTCTCATGAAATGTCTCCCTTGCCACTGCTCCAATAAAGGACCTGACAGGCCCGCTATGCATACAGGAGATATCCAGGTGAAGTACAGGGCATCCCCACTATAAGACACCCCAGTATACATCTGTTCCACACTACAAGTCATTGCTTATAGCAGGCATGTCCAAAGTCCGGCCCGCGGGCCAATTGCGGCCCGTGTTCCGGTTTAATACGGCCCCCCAGGTAATTTGGCAATATCTATCTTTTATGGCCCCCAACGAATCCATATGTATTGAGATGAATACATTGTAAAATCTCAGTTAATGTCAGTTGGTCTAAATCAGCTATGAATATATTTGGACACAACATGTATACTTGGTGTTATGTTCCTGTTCATATTTTTTGAACTTAAAAGTTGACAGACAACCTTTATTACCAATAATATGTAATGTACTTTACAATGTTCCTGACATATATTTCAGCTTCCTGGATTTTTTTTTCATCTGGCCTTCAGATATGAAAGGCAGAGTGATTTAACACCTGTTTAGATTTGTCATCCATGTGACGAAATGAAAAGTATGCCGTTTGCAATAAACTTTGCATAAAATAGTTAATTTGCATTTAATTTTAATGGTTCAAAGAATGTCAGGCAAAATGGCCGGCCCTCACGCATGTTCACTTCATCAAATCTGGCCCTCTTTGAAAAAAGTTTGGACACCCCTGGCTTATAGGAATGGATGCATTTTAGGTCCTATTTCCTGCTCTTGAGTCATGCAACCCCCCCACCCCAAAACCCAATCAGTACAAATAGAAGTCAGCCGTGGGGAAAAAATTCACCCCCTTTAAGTTGTTTTACTATCAGTCCAAGTTTTTTGGAATATACCTTGGACTTATTGCAAGAACGGCCTGCATAGTCAGTGAAGGAGGTCAGCTCCTGCTTAAAAAGAAACTATTGTGAAACTCCACAAATTCAGAGTCACTTCATGCCAGTTTGAACCAACAAAATCAGTTTCCTTGCTAAAATGTTCTGCTGTGTGTTCATCCACACTTGAAATAGCATAATAGTCAACGGTGACTGTAAAAGCTCCAACAGCCAGTGACTATTTTAAAATCGCATGTACTCACACCTTGGAACCCTTGTCAGGCATCAACATTCTAGGCCAGGGCTACTCAACGCACTGCTCATGGGCTGCATGTGGCCCGCGGCCTGTTTGTTTGCAGCCTGCAGTGCAGTTTGGATTTACGGTGTGGTTTGGGTTGATAACTTTTAGTAGTTAAATTCAGAGTTGTTGACTCGAGTCTCATGACTTAAACTTGAGTCTGACTTAAGTCGCCTAGGTGACTCCACTTGAGCCTCAACTCGGGTTCATTGTTTGTGACTTGAGACTCTACTTGAGACTTGCTAATTTTGTTAAATCAACTTGGTGAAAAAATTGTCCTAAAATGCCGATATTGATGACTTGTACAAAAGCGACTTGACACTTTTTAAATTAAGACTTGAGACTCGACTTGGACTTGACAATGGCAACTTGAAGACAACACTGGTTAAATGCCTGGACTGTTGTGAAGCCAAAACAAAAAAGTAGTCCATATAATGGTCTTCTGTTGATATACATTTTAATAGTTAAATTCCTGGAACTACTCATTAATTAATTCCTGGAATTCCATTGCTCATTAAAAGTGCTGTCATATGGGTGGAAATTGGGTAAATATTGCATTTTATTAATATCAGAAGAACTGATTTAAATGTGGCCTGCATGTTGTGTAGTCTTGCCTTAATATTTGTATTCATGCCTGGCAGTGTGAAAGAAGCTATTTGCATGTATATGCAATCACACTTAATTTGTGGCCCATAGCATGTGTTGTGAGTATCGTTGTGGCCCCCTGTAGCTTTCAAAGTTGAGTAGCCCTGTTGTAGGCTGATATCCAGTCCCTGGATGGGGAAGGGTAAGAACATCATGTACCTTGCTTGCAGTATTCTGCCTTCCTCTTCTTTTTAACCTCTGACAACAGTCTTCTGTGCCAAGCTACTTATGAGTTATAATTAGGTGATCAGCTCTGAATCTCAGTCTTGCTGTCTATTGAATTCTTAGCCAAGCTACTTATGAGTTATAATTAGGTGACCAGCTCTGAATCTCAGTCTTGCTGACCTTTATGTCTATTGAATTCTTGTATTTCCTAAATTTCTATGCTATCCAACAGGGGAAGGTTAACTTACTTTTAAATTAGTTTGATGAAAGAATGGGTGCATGTGTTTGCTACCTCCCAAGTAGGTTGTCCAACCAGTCCTGCACTATGATAGATACCCAAGCAGCTACTGAGAGAAAAATCTAGTTCTGATGTTCTATGGGGCACTTTCTTAAGGCTAAACTTTAAAAAATGCTCTTCTTGCCTCACTTTTCCCAGATGAGGCAAGAATCTCTGTTGGGATAGGAGCTTACTTTATATTGCCTTGACGTGTCCCTGGCACTTCAGTAGGATGTCCTCGATCAGACTCCTTGTGATGTAAATCACCACCCTGCCTCCTGTTGTGCTGTACTTCAGTCACTTGGCACCTAAATCCTCACAGTATTGGCACGGATGGTCACACACACAGCTTCTTGAAGTGATGAATTTGCACAGCAGTTCAGCTTCCTGTCTTCTAAATGGGGTATTTGTGAGGGCTGAACTCCTACTTTTCCTCTGCCACTTTCCTCCTCTATGGAAATCGACCTCTCCAGGAGAGTGCTGGCTAGGGGTGGGCTGAAGGTGGAATGTGTGTGAAGTTCTAGAAGAGCAAAGGGGAAGGAGGAGCTAATGTTGTACCAGCCTCTTGAAAATGTAACTAGGGTGACCTGGGTGATCACAAGCTGTGAAGCTCAACACTAGTCCAAGGCAAAATTGTGGAAGGACATCTTGGGAATCAATCCAGTAACTCATGCTGCCTCGCTTCATGCCACTCAACAAGGGTTTTATAGAAAATGGATTTAGTTACACTCGGCGCTGTTCTGTGAGGTTACCAGTTTTGCTGAGATAATGTATTCTGATGCCTTACGGAAGCTGGCGTGGGACCACACAACATCCTGAATTTTGTGCTGTGCCAAAAAGTAGCACCTATTAAATGGGTTTTTTAATACTGGCAGCTAGATCTCAGAATAACTTTAAATACATGATGAGTTATTTCTAGTGGGGGTCCCACAACCCAGCACTAGTTATTGAGGTGACTCAGAGGTATCTGTCACTTGCCACTTCACCAGTTGTAGAGAAGAATGAGGCCATCTTGGTAAACTGGCCTGACTTGAGTACTGCACATCTCTTAAGCTGGAAGGTGATACTTTCTAGGAGCAAAGAATGTGTTTCCTGCTGCTAGGATGCGGACGGTTGCTTGGAAAGCAGTGATGCAAAAGTCATTGTGTGCTAAGAGGAGGGCTTGAGGGAGAACCAGCTGAACATGGGCTGGTGATGTGGTGCCAGGACTGACTCTCAAAGGCTGTCCTCATGTGTAAACAGGAGACCACTGAATAAAACAAGGGAGGCGTTACTCTGTATATGGAACTAGTGAATTCATTACTGCAGTACTGTGTCCAGTTCTGGTGTCGTCCTAAAAAGGCTGTTGACAACTTAGATGGATTCAGAAAAAGAGCTGTAAAAATGATCTAGCATTTGGAAAGCCTGACCTGGCGTGAGAGACTAATCAGCTCAAGCTATTTATGTATCCATTAGAAGATTTGCCCGGCATTGCTTGGGTCCTTAACTCAATTTAAAAATAAAATAAAATGAAAATGTACATGCTTTCAACCATTGCTCTTAGGTAGGGTTGGGGACGAGGGGCTCAGTGTGCAGGCTGGCCTGAGGAGAGAAGGACTATCCCTGCCCTCTCAGCAGCTTGGGGCCAGGTGAGTCGTGTCTCTCCATGGCCACTGCAGCTCCAGCAGGCACAGCCGGGGGAGGGGTGCATGTCCCCTGGCTGGGGCAGGTCCCGGTTCTTCTGCCCCCTGCACTCCTCAGCCAGAGTGAGGAATGCAGCAAATTGTGCACTTCCCCTCGCTTCCTGGTGAAGGGGAACAGCCAGCAATGTTTTTGTAATATGGGGGAAGCTTCAGCTCCCCACCACCCTTCCTAAAGTGCACCTGGGGGTGCACGGCTCAGGGCTGGAGTGGTCCTGAATATGGTAGAGGGATGCACCACTAGTCAGCCCCTTTCATTTGTTGTGTGATTGTCTCTTTTCTGTATGAGAAGCAAGCCCATTCCAGTCACATCCCATTTTCTGGCACAACCAAACCCCTGACCTTGCTAGGATAAGAGGATGCTGTATATCCAATTTGGTGGTCCTGGCTCTTACCAATTAGGAGTTCTTATACAGACGGACAAACTCTTTCAAATATATAGGAGAAGAGACTGTCTGGAGTGACGTGACTATGGACAGCTTAGAATGGTGTTTACTTGTCTAGCAGATGAAGGTATAATGTTATCCAGTGGCTAGAAGCTGAAGTTAGAGGAACTTTGACTAGCAATAACCTCAAACCTTTAACAGTGAGGCTACGTCTACAATGGCAGCTTCTTGTGGAAGAACAGCCGTTCTTCTGCAAAAACTTGCTGGCTGTCTACACTGCACGAGCATTCTTCCAGAAGTAAATTTACAGTATAGCATTGTAAAACAGGGCTTCTTCCAGCAGAGTTATTCCTCTCCCCACAAGGAATAAGCCCTGTTGTGCAAGAGTTCTTCCAGAAGAGGTCAGCGTAGACAAGCAACATGAATTTCTTGCGC